CAAATGGGCCACAGAAATGGCTGGCAATAGCGCATGTGCATCCTCACTTGCGTGAGCAGCGCATGCATGCACTCTCCATTTGTGTGAGTGGCAGGATTGCCTGCATGCAGCTCATGTAAACGGAGCTGCATGTTTGTGTGCTTGCTGGCTGCTCGCATGAAACCATCCCCTCTCCCCCCCCACCGGTCCGCAAAGCCGAAAACATTGGGGAACTCTGTTCTAAGATAAAAGCATTCTTTGATTGAGAACATGATCATTTTTGGGGGTTGTATTCCAAATGCAATAGATTCAAATTTCTTCACAGAATGAAAGATTCCAAAATATTAGAATATAATTTAGCAAAACATTTACATTTTAACCCTTCATTGCCTCTGAAAAAGCTGACTCACTAGAGTAATAATGTCTAACCAGTTAGGATTTAAAGTTAACATGCCTACATCATATAGTTCTTTCAAAGTTACTACATCTTCTACATAGAGATGATGAGTTGTAGTAATTCATATAGGCTCATATAGGATACTTTAATTGTCTATTCCAAAATTCTTATAAGCTATCTACGTTTAAAATTAAAAAGAATTATGGTCAGTTTAGTTTCAATAAAGACCTTCATCAACAAATCTAACACTTTTGATGATAGACAGGCTACAAGGGAATCAGATCCAAACAGCATAGATAATTAATATTTAACTGGAAGTAAATGACATTTGTTTTGTAGAATCACCATTTTTAAAAAGATCATTACTTAATAGATGATCAAGGAATGATTCTATTATGAGTTCATTTTTTAAAAAAAAGTTACCAGCAATTTTAAAATAAGAATTCCTAGACAGTGTCAATTCTCATGAAAGAAAAACAAATTTATATCTACTACCTATCCTATAAGGCAGTGGTTCTCAACCTTCCTAATGCCGCGACCCTTTAATACACTTCCTCATGTTGTGGTGACCCCCAACCATAAAATTATTTTCGTTGCTACTTCGTAACTGTAATTTTGCTACTGTTATGAATCGTAATATAAATATCTGATATGCAGGGTGTATTTTCATTGTTACAAATTGAACATAATTAAAGCATAGTGATTAATTACAAAAACAATATGTAATAAATGAGGAAGGTCAGCATGCATTGGTAGGAGTGAGTTGCTCATAATTTTTCTTCTTATGTTATTTATATTGTTCCCCATTATTATCTGAAAGAACCTATTACTCAGCATGTTATTAATTAGTCAATAGAGATTTTTGCAGGGGATAATATGGCACAGTTTGTATAACAACCCATCCTTCTTGTGTCATCTACGAACACAGCTCTGGTTTTGAGGCCTTGCAAGGAATATAAATCCTTCCATTCCCCACCATCTCTAGTCGGAGCTGAAGAAGCTTCTTGATGGATGAAAAGCCAAAACGTCTTCAAAGAAAAAACAAGAAACTCCAGTTGCCTCTTAGGGAAAAAAAGCAACTTTGGGACATGACTTAGCAGCTGCTAGAAAAGGGGGGGTAACATATTTTCCGAAGCGGAAGGAAAACACGCATACAAGGTTGCGTGTGCTGAGAGAGGAGCCACGAGGCTCCAGCCCTTAAAATGTTCAGCAGCGAGAAAACAAGCACTGAGCCGAAGGGTGCCACGAGAGAGGCGTGTTTGCACAGCAGCCACGGCGCCTCGAAGGAGGAGCCGTCTAAGTTGGCTGATTCCGATTTCATCCTGCAGACCGTTATCTTCTGCCTCTCTTCCACGCTTCGTTTCCTAGCAGGGAGTTTTCGGGGCCATGCAAAACCTCGGGTCCATCCCACCACAACCCGCTTTCCACGGCATAGTTAGCCCCCACACCGCGGGCCACCAACCACCATCACCCCCAGCAAATTTTGCCCTTCGCTGGCTGCCAGGCTCAGCCACCCTTGCTCGCCTCTGCCTTTCGAGGATGCCTGCAGCCCCGCACTGGTTTCCCCCACCCGGTACTGCTGGGCCCGCAGGTTGGTTGAAAGAAGGAGAAGAAGGCACAACAGGTTCCGTGCAAGCAGGCCTGACCCGCCCAGGCCCCGAGCCACCATGATGCAAATGAAGCTGGGAAGAAATGAGCTGACAGATCCAGTTTTCCATGATCGACTTGAAACTATCAGGAGGAGATTGAGTGAGATCAAAAAGCAATTAAAAGAACAAAAACCTAAAACAATGAAGCAAACAAAAATTAACTCCAACATTTCAATACTTGAAAGGTACCAGTAGCTTGAAGGTATCTTGTCAAGAACAACATATCCAAGATCAAAAAAAAGAGGGAGAAAATTGTTTACTCAGATTCTCTTATGTACGACACAACAAACCTTTACCAGAAGCTTTCAAAAGTATTTTTGGACTTGTTTCAGATAGATGTTGCTGGATCTATGCAGGTAAACTACAATTCTTCACAATCCATTGATCTTGTTAATTTTTTTCACAAAGTTTATTGAAGCAACATACTGCAAGCAGCTAAAATGGCAACATATTTGGACTATGAGGCAAAGAAATGAGCTATTTCCAGATTTATCTTTCACAAAGATACAGAAGTATAGAGAATTCCATTAAGATCCTCAAATGGCCAAACAAGGGATTAAAAACATTCTTTTTATTTCTAACAGTATTTGGCTTATATATACAAACTGGGAAGGGGAAATTTAATGAATCAAAATGGCTGTTAATTATAAACAACAGATGGTTGTGATGTAGAAGAGCCACAATAGTTCAATCAGAAATGATTCAGTGGGATGGAGGATTAGTTATATGTTTAATTGCTCTTTCCCATTTCTGGATTCTTATTACATGTCTTCTAGAAGTTATTCATTGCCAAAAGGATTTTTGTTGTTGTTTTCAGCAATAACGAATCATATAAAATTGAAGCATATTCAGCTTTTAAAAATAGTGGTTACATTTACTTTGCACATGGATTCTAGCCTGCTTGCCACTCCAAAATAATGTGATACTCAGATTTTTAAAAAATGAGAGCTAATGTTTTGTGTCATTGAAAGGGAGAGCTAAATCCTTTTATCTTTTGACATCAACTCCACTGATTAAATTGGTTTTTTTTCTGCAAGAAACAAAGTTTTGAATGAAAGAAACTTTAGCAAAAAAACCCCAACCTGAATAGACTTCTATGTAAAAATTCAAAATATGACAAAAGGAATGACAATTTTAGTGAAAATGTCTTCTAGCATGGAAGATTTTTACAATAGATTTTTAGATTCGAAAGATCACTATAGAATTATTGTCACATATGGAAACCACCTTAGATGGAAAATGCTTATAGCTCAGCTAAAGATACTTTACATTGTTTTTGCTTATGGGATGTGTGTAAAATAGGTTTGATAATACTTTAACTTAGTATTAAAGCCATTATTAGATGGAATACGATTTCTAAAAAGAAAATGTATCATGAAAGTTGCAATGCTGTCTATAATACATTCAGCAGCATAATTTGGTGGATATAGGGCAATTGCTTAATTCCAACAGACAATATTTTTTAAATTTATCCCAGTTATTCAAGACAGGATGCTTGTTTAATATCTCATTTGAGAAATGTAAAACAGTATCAGTCCAATTTTAATTTCTCATCATGTCCTGGTTTAGTGTAATTGAATTTGGGGGGAAATTGTATTGGTAGAAGATGATATTTTACTACTTTATGATATTTTACTATTTCTTTCCTGGAAGATTTGAATTTGTAAACTAACAAGAGAAACAACATATAAATATGTTTTTTTCAAACAAATAAAATGTAATCTATCAGGGACAGTTTTAAGTATATTTAAACCATTTGTGATAAGATAATACTGTAAATGATGTGTCTGGTGGAAAAAGATGCATGGATCACAATATAGAAAATTTGAATTAGAAATAAAAGAAATGCTGACAGAATATTTCATAAAACAGACTCAAGTAGTATATAACACTTTTAGATCTGCTACACTGAAGTTAGAACATCTATCTACCCTGGACCCAGATTTTTTAAAAAGATTTGTCCATTTCTATGGATACATCCACAGTTAATGACAAGGGCAATCTGTACAATTCATTGCAAATTTTTTGTATAGCCTTTAAAGGCCTTTCCCATACACACTTATATTTCATACAGTTGGGTCATTGGTTATGATTATCACTTTTACAGTTTTAACTTTTAGAAACCCTGAAAAGATCTGGCAGAGTAGAAAGTTTATCTGGTATACATATATACACATTTCAATAAGCATGGAGTGCTTGTTATCAATTTCATAACAATTTACATCCTGGGACTCTTTTTTTTAAAGCTTTTTATCACACCTTAGATAGCTCCACTCTTCTAATACATAATGACCTACTCAAAATGAATTGCTAGTGTGTTTCATGGGCTCTTTTCCTCCATCAATATGAAAAATATGGCTCTAACAAATTTAAATAAATACATAAATGAGAATAATATCCTTTAAATAGGATTGTAATTTTAGTGGTCAGGCAACCATATCCACAAGTCTTGTGTAAAGATTTAGGATTAAATTGGCGGCTTTCTATATTTCTGAACTTGCTCTAGTATATGACATTTGCATCCTGCCTTTTCATGAACAAATTCAGATAGATTTTGATGTTTCTGTTTTTACATTGAACTAGAATTAAAAACATGTTTTTTTTTCCATCTGTGATGATGATGATAATAAAGGTGATGCCTCTATTACCCCAGGCCTTTGTTTCTAATAAAGATTGCCCAATAATACTTTTTAGGCATATTGGGCAATCTTTATACCTTCTTACAGAAAAACTTATTCCCTACATCCTGCATAAGCAAGCACAAAAGCAGAAATAAATAAGAGCCCCCGGCCCCCCCCCCCCCATGATCTAATTTATGAACTCTGGCCCTTCTGCTTTTTTTGGGGGGGGAGAGAGAAACCTGGCTATTACCAAGTCCGTCCCCCTGCTTCTCTCCTGCAGTCAGAAGTAATAAAGACCGAGGCGAGGGCGTCGAATTTCACTTCCTGTCACCTGGCAGGAGTCCTTTGTCTGTTCTTGAATGCTACTTAAGGGCAGGATGGAGCCGTCGGCCGGGCAGCGAATTAAGAGTTAACTGGGGATTGACTCGGAAAGGGCGCCACCCTCTTTGACGGTAGAGTAGCCTGTGAGTCAGTTTCACCTGAAACTTTGCAGGTGAGTAAAGGAAGCAAAAACGAAGGGGGAAAAAAAAGGAAAAGGAACTGGAGCCAAGATCCGGAAAGAAGAGGGCCCAAGGCTCAGAGCGAGAGAGCCGCCCCACTACATCGCAGGGGCTGCCCCGAGAGCTTCGGGTCGAGGCGGCGGGTTCCCCAGCCTCCGACCGTCTGCAAAGAGGGGCGCCTACCAGACGTGGGGGGCAGAGACCCTTAAGGGCGGCGATCTCGGCCCGAAGAAGAGGAAGAAGAGAACTTGGGGGAGAGTCCTTCCTCGCAGAAGTGCTCGAGGGACCCCGCTGGAGAAAAGGACCCTCGGAGGGGACGGAGGTTAAAGTTCCCGCGCGTCCGGAGCCTTTCCTCGCCTCTCTGCTCGGCGGTCGTGGTCGGGTCTGCCCCACTCCGAAAAGCCCTCGGCCCGGGGAACTGCGCCATTTGGCTCGTTTGGACTGAGATGGGCCGAAGTAGGAGCCGGCTTCAGGCCGGACTCTTGGTGACTTGGATTTTTTTAACCGGCTTGGTTCTTGGTCAGGAAGAAAACGGGGAAGGGGCCTCGTTTGGAGAAAGGTGCCTTGCTCAATTTACGCCCGGGTTTCCGGAGTTTGTGCTGGACACGAATGCCTCGGTGGAGAACGGCGCCACTTTCCTGGCTTCGCCGCCGGTGGAAAGCAACCGCGATTGCGTCCGCGCCTGTTGCAAGAACCCCAGTTGCAACTTGGCCCTGGTGGAGCAGAGCCCCGGGGAGGACTCCGAAGGCATTCAGAGCTGTTTCCTCCTCGACTGCCTTTACGACCAGGCCTTGGTCTGCAGGTTTGCCAAGAAGGACGGCTTCCTGAACTATGTCAGACGGGAGGTTTACAACGCTTACGCGACCATGCGAAACCGAGGCAACAGCGGTAAGGAGACCAGAGCCCGCTTCTCCCAGCCAAGGGTTGACCCGAGAGTAGCTCCTGCATTCTCTCTCGGTCCTGCAGTTATGCCCGGTCCGATCTGGTTGGTTTGGTTTGCTTTGCCTTGCCTTGGTCTGTGGTGTGAACCTGCCTGCTCTGGCAGCTTCTGGTTTAGGAAGGCAAGCAGTCTCAAGATCTTAAGGCCCCAAGTGGCCTGTCAATGTTGGTGGCTCTGGGCACCATTGCTGACCATGATTGCTGAAAAATGCTAGGGCAGTTTCACACAGTTTCCATTTGGAAAGGTGAAAATGAAAGTATAAGACAAGACCATAAGCATATTTCACTTAACTGATCAGGGCAAGTATTTATTTTTTTTTATCTCTAACAAGCAATGTCCAAATGACAACAGGTGGGTCATAACATCCTTGAGAAAAGGGTGCAATTTAATACTTGCCTCTGAACATCAGACATAAGTATGTAAGTTGCATCATTTGTATCAAGATTCATACATCATTATAAGCCATGCTGTGGATTCCCATGGCTAGAGTTTGTTCTCAGATCAAGCTCCATTTGCATGTATGAATAAACTTAACTGGTCTTTAGGGTCCTCAAACTATGGGCATCTCTTGGTTATCGGGCATAATGTGGTGGACATCCACTAACACTTGTCTTGATGACAGAATAATTGAACCATAGCATAGTGTGACCCCAGCCCCACAGTTCCCAAACTATGCACAAGGACATCACAGTGAACTCACAAGGGTGTTGAGGATATTTTTCTACATAATAAATGGAACTGTTAGTTCACTACAGTGTTCTGGGTGCCATGATATAATTTGGGAACTGCAAGGGATGCCATGAACCAAGATAGTTCAGGAACCTGTACCTAAGCCGTTGGTATGGTACATGGGACTACAAGGCACATTTGGCACTAAGGCAACAACGGCACAGAGGTGAGGGTGTTACTGAAAACAATGTAATGCAAATCAGAAACAAGGGTTAAATGAGTAAACTATGGTACAGTTAAATATGAGTAAGGATATTTTGTGAACATGAAATGGTGTTAGATGCAATTAAATGATAAGATTATCAATGGCTGTAAGCAATGAGAGTTCCTTTCTATCTCTAGATACAGGATACTTCCGATATCAGTTGTTGGGTGATACAAATAGCAAAATGCCTTGTTCCAGTTTGATATCTGAGTTTTTCATTGACTATCATGAAAAATGGATGGTCTTCTAATCACTACGTAGAGTGATAGGTTGCAGTAGATGTAATTAAATGTCTATGGCGATTCTCAGCCATCCAGGTCATAGTTGTCCCAAATATGCTTTTTCAAAAGGCAACTGGACTTTTTTAAAAAAACACCTAAAGTCCAGTTGCCCTTTAAATGATTTCCGATTCTTTAAAATGACAAATTAATGGATTAATTGGTTGATATACCACTGTGAATTAAACCTAATGAGTAATCCTATTTTAGGGGCAAATTTTAGGAAATGTTATTTTCTTTTGAATTTTGATCATGAACATTAAAAGCCTCTCTTTGATCCTGTTGGAAGCAGAATAATGAACCCGATGGACATTGGTCTAATGAAGAAAGGAAATTATTGTCAGAAATTGATTTGGGTGGGGAGGTATGTAAGTCATCATTTGTAGGCTAGCACTGAATCTCTTTTCTTTGGAAAAGGGCAATAGTGCAAGAATGTGCACATTTGTTTCACTTAGGATACCAAACTATTCCTTTCTAGTTATAGATGTTATTTGCAGGGTGAAAACTGGATTTCTAAAAGGTGTAGAATATCTAGAGAATACCAAGTTTTAAAAGACTGGTAAAATTCCATTCTAAATCCCCATTTGGGTATCTGCAGAGTAGAGTGAACAATAACAAAATGGTGGGTATGATCTGGGCAATTGAAGTCTTGCCCCCTTTTCTGTGTGCAATGCATACAACATATGTTAAAACAAGATGGGTCTTCAATCACCCGGTTATACCTGCTATTTCAATGTGGTTTACCATCCCCAATGCCCCTGTGATTCTGTTTGACTTGAAGACATGTGCAAGGAAGGAATATACCACAGTACAGAACAAAAGTATTATGTTGGCAAATGGTTCTAAACACAGTCATTTGGTGTAGTGGTTAAGGTGTTGGCCTAGAACCGAGGAGATTGTGAATTCTAGGCTTCCTTAGTCATGAAAGCTGGCTGGTTGATTTTGGACCAGTCACTCTCAGTCCAACCCAACTCACAGAGTTGTTGTAGGAAAAATAGAAACCAGGAATATTAGGTATATTCATTGCTGATAGGTAGGTAAGTACCCTGTTTCCCCAAAAATAAGACATCCCCTGGTAATAAACCCAATCTGGCTTTTGAGCACATGCACTAAAATAAGCCTCCCCCCGAAAATAAGCCCTCCCCGAAAATATTTAAACGCAAAGATGGTAAGACGGCAAGAGGAGCCCCATCTTGCTCCATGCCCCCCAAAATAATAAGACCTCCCCAAAAATAAGGCTAAGCGTGGCTCAAAAAAATATAAGACAGGGTCTTATTTTCGGGAAAACACGGTAGGTAGATAGATGTGTGTTTGTATGTGTTTGTGTATGCGTGTTTGTGTATACACCCACACACCCACACATATAAAAGAGGTGAAAATCTAATAATGAAATATTTTCTGCAAATCTTAGTCTTTGCTTCAGCCATCCTATGATTTTTACATTATTACATTATTGTTCTGTAGTGGTATGCTTCAGTTTTAGGGATGTTTTTTCTCTCTCTTAAATGCTACATACTGTATTGAGACTGCTAGTCAGGTGGTGGCCTGAACCAGGGGTGTTTGCCTCCTTTTTTTTTTTCTTCAGATTTTGAATATATATTTTGGTGTCTTTTGGTTGCTCTTTAGTCCATTTCATGTGGTACAGTTTGTGCGCATAATTGATCCCATAAAATAATAAATGTGCACACCTGCATCAGATTACATTTGTTCTCATGCCTGCTTTTGAATAATTGCTGATCTTGTACCGGTAAGTGTTCTTAAAAACTGTCCCAAAGCTAACACAATGTTGGTCACTCAGTCACATGTCAGCATTAAAAATCAAGTTGAACTTGTATTGAGGCCAGCGCTCTAGGAGATTGCTATGGGTGATTAGACATAGGAAAATAACTTTGCATCTGATTGTAGCCATGTTATAGAAATAGACAAGGAGTATGCTTCTGTTAATTTTGATCTAAACTCCTCTTTATGCTTGTGATAGCTTTGTATTATTTCATTTTTTTAAAAAAGTGAGCACCCCAGCAGCTAATTGCTGAGTGAGAATATTATCCCTACAAAAAGGCATAAATAAACTATCATAACGAGTGATATTTGACCTAGATCAATACTGTAGCCCTCTAGAATTACAACTACCAGCCTGTAGTTGCTGTAAACTGTGGTTCTTTAACAATTCTATAATAAGCACTACATTGCTAGATCTGGTAAAATTGAAATTACATTTAATTGTTGAATATACGTCTTTCTAAAAACAGTAGCACTTTTGATGAACATCCATCAAACTTCTGTTTTGTTCACATTTATATGTGTGTATTTTTATGTAAGTTTTCACCTTCAATACCGTAACATTAGCTATTATCACATTATATCTAGGCAATTAAAAATGGTTTTCTATACTTTAGCCCAAGAATGACGTGCTTTATAGATAATTTGTCTTTATACTTTTCTCTGTAACCAAATCAATTTAATGCCTAATTTATTAGTGGGGAAAATCTGTCCAATTAGGAAAGAAAGGTGTTTGGGTAAAGAACTGTGATACATATGACTTTCCCCTTGTTTTAAGAGGAAAGTGGAAATCTTGCTTCTCATGAATCTGTCTACGCATACAAAAATCATACATAATGTGAGGCATGGCCCTCAGTTTGGTGCAGTAGTGAAATTCAAATTTTTTAACTATCTGTTCTGTGGGCGTGGCTTGGTAGGAATGGCAGGGGAACGATACTGCAAAATCTCTATTCCCACCCCACTCCAGGGGAAGGATACTGCAAAATCCCCATTCCCACCGCACTCTGGGGCCAGCCAGACATGGTATTTGCCAGTTCTCCAAACTACTCAACATTTCCGTTACTGGTTCTTCAAACTACTCAAAATTTCTGCTGCTGGTTCTCTAGAACCTGTCAGAACCTGCTGGATTTCACCCCTGGTTTGGTGGCATCTAGATGAAATAATGCTATTCCTAGGGTGATTTCCTTGATGCCTGCTTCCCATTTTTGATCAGTTTCTAGGCAGACAGTGAATTTATGTCTGCATCAGTTTTCAATTTGTTGATCTTTCTTGTTCTGTATTTAGTTTTAATTTTATAGTTACGTTAGCTGCCTTGGAATGGCAGAAGAATGAAAGATGAATCAATCATATTTGAGAAGGCAAAGCATTGCTTTTGAATTGTAGCCAGAGAATATATGATTTTTTTTAGCTCTGTCATGGTGAACTGGGTCAGGAGGTGGGGTATAATGTAGAAAGTAGTTGGTTTGTTTGAACAGGATAAACGAGAGCATCATGAGTTCATTTGTTGGAGATAGGTTTAACAAAACCTCTGAACAGTAAGGTGATGTCATTTACCTAGTTGAGATTTTAGCATTAGTTTTTTTTTATTTTCCTGGAACTTTTAGAGACATCTGATCTGCTCCAAGTTTTATAGCATAGGTGTTAATCACATTCATACAACAGATATCAAATTGCATTCAGGTAATTGTCTTGGGAATGCTTGGGGACAAATTTGTGTACTTGAGTTACAGCTTTTTCTAACAATCATAGCTAACAGTATTTATAATACTGAACATAAGTAATCCTTATTTAGTGACCACAATTGGGATGGGCAGGAGGTGGAATTGTTAGTTTTTTATTTCCTGTCTACAAATTGTTAAAGTCTATTTGTTAACTGTGGGAGGCGGTGGCTCAGTGGCTAAGATGCTGAGCTTGTCGATTGAAAGGTCAGCAGCTCAGCGGTTCGAATCCCTAGTGC